CTATTATTTCTATTAATTTATAGACATATTATATTAGCCTTTTGTACTATATTAGGTGGCACCTAGTTATTCTAAATATGTAGGGCGTCTATCTCATATTACTATTATAGTATATTTAGAAGAAGATACTAAAATATTATAGACTAGCCTTAAGGGGGAATATAATAAGCGTTAATAATAGTATTTAGTATCTTAAAGGAGAGGTAAGCCCTCTACGCCTTTTTTATAGGTGTCTAGTGTGTTCGCTTAGTAGTAGTGTTAGACTTGGTCTGTCTTGTGTTAGACCTAGGCTTAGGTATAAGCCTAAGCCCTTTACACTACTAGAAAGGTATAGAGACTACCTATAAACGCTACGTTTAGAACTGTATCCTATGCAGGAGAGGGCACCTAAGATAGCACTAACTCCCTAGCATGCTCTACCCCCTTCCTATCCCTAGTCTACTAATGCAACACCTGTGTATTAATTTTAAGGATTTTCTATAGGATTAACGTAGTTATAATTAGATTATAGTTATTATTAATTGCCTATTAAGCAAGCTATTACTATCCCTTACTATAAAACTATAGACGCCTAAGGTATAGCTACCTTATTTATTTAGTAGGTGTACTAATTTAGATACACTCTAGATACTATTATTTCTAATTAAGGCCCTTAGTTTATATCTAGTTTCTAGTCTAAGTTCTATTAGATTATAGGCACTAAAGTTAAGCTCTCTACTACCTACTATAAATAAACTAATAGACAAACTAAGATTATAAATAAGTATATTAATTAGAGACTAAGGCCTTTTATATCCTATTACTAAGATAACTAGAGTAACCTACTACCTATAATAGACTATGCCTAAAGTACTCTTCTATATTTATCTATTAGTATAGCTCTATATTAGCGCCTCTTTAGTTCCTTACTAAAGCAAAGTTAGTATTAGAAACTAGAAAAGACCCTATCTACTATACTAGAGAAACTAAACTATAAGGACGCCTTATCCCTTACTACTTAGATGCACAACACCTAAAAGATTACTAAAGAAAATATAGAAAGAGCTTAAAACTAAATACGCTCTACTACTAATTACTATTACTATCTAGTTAACTAGAAGGTTAGTAACTATATTTATCTATCTACTACTAATCTTGCTATTTTATAACCTAGCTAAAAACTATCTAAATAATAGGAAGGTCCCTTTAAGGTATTAGAATAAGTAGGAAACGCGTATTACCTCTAATTACTACTTAGTTCTAAGATCTATAATATTTTCTCTCCTAATATACTATATAAAGATCCCTAAGACCTATTACCTAGATAAGAGGCTCTAAAACCCCCTAGTACCCCTATACAAGGTATAGAGGAATAGGAGGTAGAAGAAATCCTAGCTAGCAAATTATATTAATCTAAGCTAAAATATAAGGTTAAGTAGGTTAGATATAATCCTAATCCTATTTAGTATCCTACCTCTAACTTTATAGGTGCTCCCTATAAATTATAGGTATTTTACTAATAGTATCTAAATTAGCTAGGTCCCCTACGTAGCTTACTAAAATAGATTTAAGCCTAGGAAAAAGGTAAAGAGGATCTAATATTACTTTATAATAATTATACCTAATATTAGAACTAATTTATATCCTATTTAGCTATATATTATCTATTAACTACTATCTATTACTATTATTCTTGTTACTATTTATTATTATATCCTATTTAGAACTATCCTAGAACCTTTAAGGTTCCTAGGATACTACCCCTAGGAAACCTCTTTATTCTATATCTATCTCTTTATTAGAACCTAGTTTAGACTCTATATTAGCTAAGATAGCGCCTAGACTACCTTTCTTAACTAGCTTCTAGATAACTAGTGCAACTAGTACAGGAGCAGGTGCAGGAGTAGGTGTAGGAGCTAGAACTAATTTAGACGCCTTCTTATTAAGCGCCTTTATCTTAGCCTATACTATAAAGGTTACCTCCTAATTTAGTGCTATTTCCTCTTTAAGTTTATTAATAGCCCTTATTAAGCCCCTAACTACTAAGACTATCTTATAAATACTATTCTAAAGCTAATATAAATTAGATATAGTAGTATAATATATAGCTATAAGGATCTTAGTAGCTTCTATACCCTTAGTCTAAGTATTAGTAATAGTAATATACTTAGTAAGGTTTTAGGTAGCTTCTTAAATAGTAGCCTTAAACTATTTAATATCCTTCTAATAAGCAACTATAGTATCCTTATCCTTATCCCCTTTAGTAGGGTTTGCTACTAGGCTATAGTACTTATCTAGAGCACCCCTAAGGGTAGAGTACTCTAGGCTAATAAAAGAAGGAATCTACTAGAATTAGTAAAGGAACCTTATTAGACTTAGATACTTACTAGATTATAATACTTATTCTAGGAGATATAGTACTAGCACTTCTTAGAATTCTTTAACTTAAAATTAAAATTATTAAACTTGCCCCTAGCTAGAGCCCTAACTACCCTTATATAGAGAGCGCGATAAGTAATAGGGAGGACTCCTAGTAGTACTAGTACTAGTATAGCTAAAGGTTCTAATTTAGATTAGTAACTACTTAATTATATAGATTAAATACTTACTAGATTTTAAATAGATTAGGTTAAATAATTAAAAAATTAGGGATATAAGAATAAGAAAGTTAGTAGGTAGAGGGCTAGTTATAGGCAGGCTAAGGATAGGGGTCTATACCCTAGGAACAAGAAGTAAAGGTAAAGGTAGAGGTAAAGGTAGAATTATTTTGCAAGAGCTTTTCTTTAATAAAGGATCTAAACCTAATCCTAAGGATAGGGACTATCCTTTCTCTATAGGAGGGGGTAGTGTAATAATAAGGTAGAATTACCTGCCTATTATTCTATACTAAGTTAGGCCTAATAAAGGCCTGACTTACTAATATATATAGAGAATAGCTCGCCTATAGTTAGGATAGGCATATTCTTCTTATCCTTTCGTACAAGACCTATAGGTGTAGGAATCTTATCCTTTTCTATACAGACGCGCACTCCTATATGCCTTTGAGTCGTATAGGATACCTTTTAGATGCCCTACCTACCTAAGTCGTTATAAAGAGGATAGGATTAAAGAATAAGCTAGGTAAGACTTTATAGTAGAAATAGAGTAAAAAGACTAGTAAGCTCTCTTATAATAGTAGAGGTAGTATAGATTAGTAGTACTATTAGAGTTAAGTTCTAATTTCTAAGCTTATCCCCTTTACTAAGAAGTATAAGAAAGAGAGACTATATACTATAGTTTAAGAGGATAAAGCTCCTTTATATACCTACTATACCTAATAACTAGTATATTAGAGAGAGAGAGTAAAGAAGCTTCTCTACTATAGTAATTTACCTAACCTTAACGCTATTAAAGTAGCCTAGCTATAGCTTAAGTAGAGAACTACTAGGAAGGGCGCTCTTAAGAGTAGAGTAAAGGGGATAAAAGTATAGTTAAAAGCTTAGGATAAGCTACCTTAATACTAAATCTAGGCTTAGATAGAGCGTATATAGTATTATATTTAGGAGATTATTAGACTTAAAGGTAGTAATAAGTATAAGGAGGGGCGGCGCGACTAAGTAGTCTAAGCTTTAGTGGTATCACGGCGGTAATATAGACACCCCTGTTAGCAAGAACTTTTAAAAGTCACCTCCGTACTATGTCCGGCTTACGTGCAATGTTACCTTTAGGTACTGGTACTGGTACTGGTACTGGTACTGGTAGCATTACAGGTATTGCCATGCCTAGTACAAACCATGTTCAGGCCTGCCCCCCTTGCATGTGATGCGCAGAAAAGAAACAGAGAAGCCTTCTTGGATCCCACCACAGAGAGGCACGTCCCTTCTTTGCGCTTTCTTTGCACATGCCATGGTCTCGCCGAGACTGTCGCACAGTACTTACTCTGGCTGCTTTTGTCTTCTCCTACTACATACACCGATTGCCGCTTGGATCCGGTTCAAGGCTGGGGCAACTGCATGTGGCCAACCCATGACCTCCGCCGCCAACAGCCGATCCACCTTCCTCGGTGCGCAGTGACAGCATCGTCTGCTGCTCATCGCCAGATCCTCAGCCACCTCCCTTAACTACAGAGAGCGGGTCCCCCCTTTGGGCATGTGAATGCCCCAAATCCCTCTTCTCTTGCACACCTTCTTTTCTATTCATCGACTTGGTCCCAGTCATTCCCCAATCTCACTACATCACCCAGCCCTAACCCACCAAACCCCCCCCAACACACCACCCCACCCATGGTAAAAGGGCCAGTGCGCTCATAAACCCGCAGCATGAACTACGTGCGATCCATCACCGGCTCCGTGTCCAAGGGCTGGAACTCGATCAACCCAGCCACCCTCAGCGGCGCCATCGATGTCATTGTCGTCGAGCGCGAAGACGGCAGCCTGGCCTGCTCACCTTTCCATGTGCGCTTTGGCAAATACCAGATCTTGCGGCCCTCGGACAAAAAGGTGGAATTCAGAGTGAATGGCGACCTCCAAGACTACTCTATGAAGCTGGGCGAGGGTGGCGAGGCCTTCTTCGTCTTCGAGACCTCGGCCTCCATTCCTGCCGAAATGCAGACGTCGCCCATTGCCTCGCCCGTTGCCAGTCCCGAACAAAAGCCTGTGCAGTTGCCTGGCGAACGCGCCTTCGATGACGAGCTGGAACCCCTTGAACTCGATGGTAGCAGTGGCGCATCACGGAGAGGGCGCATGTCCATGTCCACACCATTGGAAGACAACCAATACAGAGAAGCCGGGTTGGGACGGCCCAAGTCGGGAGACTGGTCAGGACTGCACATACAAAGGGCGAACACAGACGAGGTGCTGCCTTCACAACGGGCAGAGTTTGCAAAGACCTTTGAAGAGCTCAGCGAAGGGGGGCCAGAGAATGGACCGCTGCAAGTCAGCAAGGAGGATGCGACGGCATGGAACAGGACGACGCGCTCAGCAAGTCCTCCGCCAGTATCGGCCACTGAGGCCCTGGCGCGCGCCATCAAGCTGTCCAAGAAGCTATTCACCTCCAACATCCCCAATAAAGTCACCGAGTCTGGAGATCTGGAGCTAGACATGACGGGTTACAAGAGCAGTGAGGAGGAAGCGCTACGTGCTGAGGTTGTCGCTAGGAAGATTCTCTCTGACGAGCTTGCGGGCGATTATGACATTGGTGCTCTCATCGGAGCCGACGAGAACGGCAACTTATGGATCTACAGCAGCGAAGAGGCGAAAGCTGCTGCCATGCAAAAGACGACCATGAACATCTTGAACGAGGCCGCTCTGCAGTCATCAGACGCCGTATCAGACCCCGGCTACCAAAGCGATAGCAACCGCAGCGATGACACGGCCGACTACTCCCACCTCCGCCGTGATTCAGACAGCGCCCTAGGCGTGTCTGCTCCGCACTCCCCCGAAGCTCGCAAGGAGAAATCCCGTACCTACGCCAAAACACTTCGCCTGACTAGCGACCAGCTCAAAGCCCTCAATCTCAAGCCTGGGGCAAACACCATGTCCTTTACCGTTAACCGCTCCACCTGCAATGCCTACATGTGGTACTGGCACCACTCGGTACCCATTGTCATATCCGACATTGATGGCACTATCACCAAATCCGACGCTTTAGGACATGTCCTCAACATGATTGGTCGAGACTGGACACACCAGGGTGTTGCCAAATTATACACCGACATCGTCAACAACGGCTACAACATCTTCTATCTAACCTCGCGCTCAGTAGGCCAAGCAGACACGACCCGCGCCTACCTCAACGGCGTAGTCCAAGACAACTACCGTCTCCCCAAAGGCCCCGTCATCATGAGCCCAGACCGCACCATTGCCGCTCTCCGCCGCGAGATCTACCTGCGCAAACCCGAAGTCTTCAAAATGGCCTGTCTGCGGGACATTATGCAACTCTTTGACAAGCCTCCACACCAATCCCCTTTCTACGCCGGCTTTGGCAACCGCTTCACGGACGCGCTGTCCTACCGCTCCGTCAACATTCCCAGCATCCGCATTTTCACCATCAACAGCAACGCCGAGGTCAGCCTTGACGTGCTCTCCCTCAACAGCTACAAAACAGGCTACGCCTCCATGCGCGAAATCGTAGACCACTTCTTTCCGCCCGTTGGCCTCCTGGTCCCCGCCGGTGGCGAGGCCTATACAGACTTCAACTACTGGCGCGATCCCCCCCTCGACATTGAAGACTTCACCGGCAGCGAAAGCGAAGGCGAGGACGAAGACGAAGACGACGAAGACGACGACGAGGCGCACACTCTGCACAGCGAAGACGAGGGCTCAGAAGTCGGCGAGGATCTCGAGGCTAGCTATCTCACCCAGGACTCCGTCGACGAAGACTACCTCGGCGACTCGGTCATGGAGAGCGTAGAGGCCAATTGTGCAGACCCGGAGGTCGACGCCGAGGATGCTGGTGCATGCTATGACGAGCCGTTTGTGCGCGACGACGACGCGGATGAGGCGGACGATGGGGACGATGAGCTGGAGCCGCGAGGTGGGATGCCCAGTATGTATGGGCGCGGTGCTGAGCCAGATGCAGATGCAGATGCAGATGGCGACGGCGATGACGACGGTGAGGATGTCGCACCGAGCCAGCGCCTCGCAGACTTGGACCTAGTAGCCTCGCAAAACTCGCCCACACCGCGACCCAGTCCGAAGAAAAGCGCGGATCCAAATCCCCCGTCTTAAGTCCAGACTAGGCGTGTAATTGGTTAATTGCGTCTAGTTCTTTTTGCTGTCGCTGTTCTTCTTACCAACTACGCAAGGTTTTCTCCTTGTTCGTTCCTCAGCAGTATATACTACTGCCTTTTTACTACTGCCTTTTTACAGTCTCCCCATCTTCCAGGCCGTCCCATGTTTTATTCCTTTTTTTTGCGCTTGTTTACCTTGGTGGCGTTGGGATTGGGCATAGATGGCGTTTTGTTGGTGATGGCGTTGGCATTGGTGTTGGCGTTGGGGGGTTTTCTTGCGAGTAAAGGTTTGGTGGGGTTTTGGGGGTGGATGTGGTGGGTTGGAGGATAGATGTGTGGTGTGCGTGTGAGGTTTGGGGGGCTTGGGGGTGACGAGATGGTGTATAGTTGTGGTGGTGGTGGTGGTGATTGTGTCAGTGATGAAGATGAGCATAGGCATCTGCGATACAGGACTATATTATACTATATCACAGACATGTTTATCCTGTTGATTATACAAGGTACCTACCTATACAACAGGTGTATGTCTACTGCAAGGGAGGTGTGATTATTCTGTACAGGGGTGTTTGGGCATGAAGAGGGGTTTTAGGTAAGAAACGGGGGGGTGGGTGAGTGTCTGTGTATCCGCAAGACAATGGTGAATATTACGCCTCGAACAATGGATCCATGCTCCTTGCAATCCCTAGCTAAACATCGCCCATCTAACTTTTCCCTCCTGCTATTTACAAACGAACAATCATGCACAACTTCGGCTTCACTCCCAGCCCTAGCCCCATCCCCCTCTCCCCGTCCAAAAAGGAATATTTTTGGATTATATGCATACATAAAATTCCCAAGTCAACAAAAAACTGGCTAGAACGCTAATATAAACAGCAACAGCAAAAGCAACGCTGAAGAACAAATAGAGAAAACACAAACTGATGTCTCAACTATCAACTCCCCGGTTTCGTAGGCGTCCAGTTCTTGTACAAGCACGCGCAGAGGGTACTCGAATCCTGCGACTTGAGGCGGACCTGATCGCCTCTGTCCTTGCGACACGAGGGAATGTCCGTGCCGCCTGCTACGTTTTGCTCGACGCGCGCGGCTGGGTACGTGTTAGCGTGTTGGGTTGCAGCAGGAGCCGTGAGACAGAAAGGGAGGGATGAGAAGAGAGGGAAGAGGGAGGGGGTAAAGACATACCATAAGGCCAAGCAGGACTATCCGCATGCCTAACCGCGATCCTATCGTCTGGATACGTTCGTTGCATCTTGGTGTACAAGTAGCCCTGAATCCCCGTAGCCGGGTAATCGCACTCGAAGTTGCCTCTCTCGTTGGCCAAACTCCCCGTCACGTTGACGCGCTTGGACCGGCTGACCTGGAACCAGTAGCGTTCGGTGTCCTTGCCGGCGTCGAGCAGCTGCAAATTCTCGTTTTGGAAGGAGGTGCCGAATGTGTCGTCGTGGCCGTTGGAGGAGATCTTGTAGGCCCCCTCTGTGCCGCTGATTTGCCAGTTGAGAATGGTGAGGGCTTTTTGCGGGTCGCTGTAGTAGTCGGTGAAGGGTGCGCAGGTCCATGTGTTTTCCGCCGGGGTGCAGCCTGTGGTGGTGGTGTCGAGGAAGGTGATGATGGAGTAGGCTCCGAGGGGGAAGTTGGGGGGAGGAGCGGCTGGGGTTAGGGGGGAGGATGCTGCGGGTGCGGGCACGTCTGATTCGGGACGGCTGCTTGTATCGCTGGCTGAAGACTGTGAATTACCGGCAGTGGATGTTTGGTTTGTGTTGCTGTCACTGATGTGTTAGTGGTACGCATAATTCTAGGCACAGATCAAGACTTACTTGCTGCTCGACTTCTTTTTCAGCCCTACGCCCAAACCAACAGCCAAGCCTATTATCAAGGTGAGGATGATAGCAGCAAGGATAGCCAGTCTTGTACAAGACCATCCTGCCATGCCTCTCCGTCTCCTATGTCTGATGTGTCCAAACTTCTCTGCATCCTTATCGCTCCATACACTGACACTGAGGTTGCTGCCATTGTGACTTCGCTCTTCGCTACTCTCTCGTGGAGTATCGCCAAGTCGCCCACCTGTCAACAGCGACACGACACCGACCTTCTTGGGAACCTTGGGTCCATGTTGCACCTGGCCAATGTGTGTGTGGTTGGGATCGTTGCAGTATGTGCTGGTGGTGGTGACACTAATCTTTGCCGGGGCTGGTGGCGACTTGGCCCGTTTGTTATCGAGGATGATGGAGAGACGTTGACCAGCAGGTGTCATGATGCGCTTTGCAGGACGTTCATCCTCGAGCGGCTGGTGCATGCTCGAGCGCTTCGTACGCAAGTAATCCATCGAGGGCATGTCGAGCTGGCTGTACACAGCAATACGAACTCTACGCACAGGCGCGTCAACGGCTGGCTGCTGCTACCACTCCGTCCCAGTATCGCGGCTCAGGCCTTGTCCATGTCTTGCTGATGCTGTCCTTTGCCCTTTCGATTGGCGCGTGGGTAATAACTGTGCCGTCGGTCGATAGCCGGCAGTATAGGGATGATGACGACGGGCAGCCTCGTTTTCACAAGAAACACAACGGCATGGAACGGGAGAGAGATCAAGGAGAATTGGCAATGTGCTTGAGGAGGAAAGTCAGTCCACTCCACTCGGCCAGCCCATGGCCAGGGTTCGAGAATCGAGAGGAGTCTAGGGCGCAGAGCGAAGGCAGTGAGGCAAGCCGCCCCGTCACACGCTAGGGTGTGTTGCAGTATCGAATTCGGCCTCCTTTTGGGCTAGAGAGTCAAGTGTGCCTTAATCGCAGACCATGTCATTACTCGTACCATAGGGTCTGTGGAGACGCACTGCGCTACAACGGGAACGGGAGCGCCGCATGTTGATCCATTGCCGACGTTCCTCTCCTGGAAACGACAGCGGGGGTGGGTGAGGGATCCATTTTGAAGTTCAAGGATGCTATATGTGTAACGTGACGCGGGGCCAGCATCCGATCAGCTCTTAAACTAACAAATTCCACTGTGCATGCAATGTGCATGGCACAGCATTCGTGAAGCCATGAAGTGCAGCGCACCAGCACTGGAGGGAGAGAGGGGGGAGGAAGAGAGAGAGGCTGATTGTCAAGGGCTCGGCTGATTGTTTTGGTGGCTGCGGTAAACAGAGAGCAGGTTTGTCACTCGCTTAGACAGCGCTAATGTATGTTTTTTCAGACGCGATCCCGCCCAGTGGACACTTCAGTGCCAAGAGTTGTGTCTTTTCTTCTTCACTCTTCACCAAACCACTCAGATTCACCAATCTACAGACTCCCTAGGTATGTATGAGGTGAGGTCGCTGGACGTGTCGGTTTGAGATATTGCATACGCTCCCTCCTTCACTCTATAGCGTCTCACCGCGCGTCCATTGGCCGTCTTCTGTTCACGCGACAAACGCGACTGCCTGTCCTTATGGAGCTACCCGTGGACCTGCCTGGTGAAGTTTGACAACCACGTGCCATTGCGATTGAAACTTCACACACTGTCCCATCTCACCTCATTCGAGAGCATTACCAGACTATCGAATCTGCTGCAGCTTCTCCCGGCCTCATATTTCGTCGTGCGCTGACATCTCTTCGTTGTGTCGATTCTCGGCCACCTCTTCTGAACTTCACCAAGCCCAAATGTCTTCAGGACATGTAGTTGTGCGCCTGAAGTCAGGCTCCGATGGAGATGCGACACATATACCAGCCCCTGGTGTGCACACGCAAGTAAATCCTCCAACCCTATATCTCGAAAAAACCGCTCAGCAGTGGATGGAGCGCCGTGGAGAAGCTCGCCCAGGAGTCAAGTATATATTAGAAAGGCTACCAGCTGGCTATACCATGTGGCAGCGTCCACGCCCAGGCAAACCAACAACCGTGGATAAGTATCTTTTCGGCCATCCTGACCACAAGAGATTCGACTCGCCCAATCGCTTCTATCCCCACTTCGAACATCTCATGGACAATGGTGGCAGTAATATCGGTTGCCCTTGCACTGTTTGTGCTGGTAGCGCTGGACTACTTCTGAAGAACTCGTCAAGTCGAAATACCTCAAGCAGTGTCTCTTCTTCCTCCAGAGCTCCAGCGCCTCGTATATCGAAACACTTTTCGACTGATCCTCAGCAACCCATCTCATTCGTCGGCCAGCCAATCAAAGAACGTCCAAAACCAACCAGCTCCGGCTACGTCGACGAAGAGGGTACGCCTGACGTCTATCGCAATCTCATCGAAAAGCTTCGACGGCACGGAACCATCGACGAGAAGATTGAAGAGCCGCTGAGTCCAGACTGGCTGGCAGAAAAAGAACTTCTGCCTGCCCTGCTACAAGAGCTACTCCATAATGAGCAGTGGAAGCCACGTCAAGGGGACATCCTCTTGTTTGTCAGAAATCTCCCAGAGCATGTTAGCATCGTCCGAAACGAAGACACAGGTGAGTATCAGCTGTACAATGAAGATACCAATGAGTGCGTGGGAACACCAATTTGGGAAGCTGGTCTAGTCGGACAGACGCCCGTCAAGGACCAGATAGCATCTGATAGTGTCATCTACTCCGGTCTACGCCTTGAACCACTGCCAAATCTCAATGATCCAGACAAATCCCTGTCCAAGCGTTATAGATATGTTCCGCTACGGCAGACGCGACCATTCATACTGTGGGAGCAGTTTTTGGGTAACATTCCTCAAGAAGACTGGCACCCCACTATACACAACGCGTTGACAGTCACCTCTACCCTGTCTCTTGTGGGCAAGCATCGTTTCCGAGGCACCTGGCCAGATGCTTCTATCTACTGCCATGCGATGTACCTCGGCCATGAGCTAATTGCCGTAGGAGACACGGTACGACTTCTACCAAGCTCTTCTTCTATGCACGATGAGAATGGAAACTGCGATATCATGTTAATCAAGTCAATACGAATCAAGTGGAGCAATCTTGACAAGGCCTCGAATAACGATTATGATGAAGGTCGACCGTACAACTCGGCCGTATGGTTATATGGCACCGCCCTCACGAGTGATGCATTACGCTCTGATAAACGATGGCTCTCTGATGCTACTGATGGGCATTCTCTGAAAGCCGCTGCTGGGTATTCGGATTGGTACCCGTTGCATCCTCCATCAAAAGAGCTTGCTATTCCTCACACTCGTTGCATCGGACGAGTATATGAGAGAGACGCTATGGCCGCTTTTCTTGGTGCAGAAAACCATGATCTGCTAGCTTTGGGTACGGATGTCGGCGGTAGTGGCCTCCTTAAAGCTCGGAACTTTTCCAGCAAGCATGATCAACGAATCGTCAAAGACGACGCCACCTGGTACTGGGGTGATAACCGTGCAGACTCCTTAGGTCTTCAGACTATCAATGGGCTTGACGTTTCCAAATTCGATCAGTTACGCGACGTGAAGGAGTTGAGAAAAAAAATCAAAATTCTCGAAGCCGACAAGGGACCCGCAGCAAGCTCGAGGCAGCCTGCTACTGTTAAGACTTCTGCCAGAAATATACGCGACTTCATGGCTGTCGAACTACCTCCGACGCCAAATAGGAACATTGCAAACAGAACTCTCAACGGAAGCAGCAGTGTGACCAGCAGCTTCGACAGAGAGGCAGGCATGAATATGGGCCAGAAGCGGATGCGTGCTGACAGCACAAGTGACGAAGTGGGAGAACACGATGTCGAGATTCATCAGTCTACTGTGGTCGTCGACCACATCGCTGCCCGAAGGAAGAAGAAGCCCACAGTCCAGGTCGTCATTGATGATTGAGACATCACCAATCCTGCTATAACACTTCGCAATCGGTTGCATGGCACATGTCGAGTCATCATGATCCTGATATTTCAGGAAAAGGCTGGGATAGTACGTGTGCTAGATGCAATGGAAGACTACCTATGTTGCGATACGGAAAGCTCTGAGATATCTCGTCATTAGCTTTGGCAGTGCATAGCACTTACATGACGACTCACATATGGGCACAGGAGAAGGAGGCTATATTTACGGTTCATATTTAAAGACTATATTAGGGTATGCAGCTAGTCGTGTCTACAGAAAGTGTGCTTCATGAGAAATGTAAGCAGTTCTTAAACAACTAGTCGTCTACAGAGCCATGGTGCAGGATCGTTGGAAGGAATACAATAAGTCCCCCAATCAATCCCAAAGTATAATCGCGACCGTCAAAGCAGCTGCCACGGCCGCAAAACCCGTAGTCATAAGTAGCGAATCTAGAGTATCTGCCCCTCGAGACTTCCCCACGCCCCTGAGGTCTTCACTCCATACTTTTCCCACCAAGCCCGTGACATTCGTCCACGACCCCTCACACCCCGTCTCATTCAACAACATACGCTCCGCAACTAATCTCCCCATCTCCTCATTAACCCTGATACTACAGTCCCACTCCCCCCTGCATCCCCAGCGTCACCATCGGCTCCAAACCCCTCTTAAATACCACACACTACTCCCCAGACCCCGAAGCACCAGGACCTTCCTCCCCCACCATAAGCTTTGCAACAGGCATAGCACAGAGTCCCGCTCCCATAATGAATGGCCTGGTTGACTGTGTGCGGGTTTGCAGATGAGGCTGGTCAATCCCACGTGAGGTATAACCATCATATAGCGCACTGTTGATCGCGCTCACCAGTGGTAGTCCCAGTCCAAATACCCCCTAAACAGTGTACGCACCAAACTCATCCCCATCTTTCCTATGTCCACGATGCTGGTTTCCAAGACGGGTCGTATACGGTAGTGGGCTTGACATCTTGGCGACATGTACCGGTAGTGGAATCATGGATCCTTCGAGTCAAGTAAATTCTCAGGATAGGCAGCCTTGAACCTCTATGTTGCCGTTATAGCCAGGAGTTTTCTGATAGCGCGGGCGCAATATTGGGGGTTGGGGGGGTTTTTTGGGTTTGATGCAGGCTGGGAATTGATCTGGTAGTGAGACTTATATAAAAGGTGCTGGTGAGGATTCAGGGAGAGAGGGTCAATGTTGGAGCGCTTGATTAAGCCTCGTGTATGCTTAGTATAAGGCTCAGGGCGCCACGACGTGTGAAATGCCATGCGAGAAGGATTGAAAGTAGTATGTTTCTTTGTGTTGTGATTGAGAGGGAGGCGATACACTGGTAGTTTGTTGATAAATGTGATAGGGGTCGTATAGGGGGTGGTGGTGCATTTATAGGAAAGGATGATGATTGAAACGTTTTGGGAGGATAGACGTTGATGCGGTAATGGTTTTGGTGAAATGTATATCAGAACAGGAGAAGTTGTTGAGAACTGATTTTCTCTCCTTACACATCTTACGTGCTGTCTGTCTATGTAGCGTTGAGTAATATCATTAATGAGTATTTGTACTCACTCTTCCCCATCCACTGGATCAAGATTCTCATCAACACCATACTCCTGCACAATCCACGCGCAAAATTTCTCCCACTTTGCCACCCATTCCTTAAGATGTTTTGCGCGAATACCCTTGCCAAACATGCCATCTTTGATATCCTGCGTCCAGTCCTTTGTGCTCAGGTCATCAAAGCTAGCCCAGCGCACGCTATTCTCCGCCAGCGAGCCCAGACCTTCCAGACCGAGGTTCTCCCAGCCTTGTAGAGCTTGCCAGAAATCATGTGACATGCCCATTGCCCCCTGGCCCAGGATCGTAGGGTCATCGTTGCAGAGCGAGCAAGGAACGCCGCGGGCGAGAAGCGCAGGCAGGGGATGCGACATGATGCTTCCACACAGCCGTAGGACTTCGTTAGAAACAGGGCAGGATTCGATCAAGATGCGCTTTTCCTTCACCATGTCGATGAGCAGCGGGTGCTTGTACAAACTGAAGCCGTGACCTATGCGCCGTGTTCCAAGGATGATTGCGTCGAAAAGATTCTCATCGACGGAGTCACCATCACCGAGCGTCTCGCCGGCGTGGAAGTAGAAGGGGATGTCGACACCCTCTTCTGCGCACTTCTTGCGGAACCAGAAGAGTTCTGGGGCGAGGTCTGAGAGCGGACGGCCGAGATCTTCTTGTCCGACTAAATCATAGCCAGCTATGATCTCGGGGAATTCGAGTTTCATTTCGATGCATTGTTTCATGCCTACAATGTATTGTCAGTATTTAGATGCTATGTGAAGAATGTTGGCTTACTCTCGATGACTTGCTTCTTCCCGAATTGCCTGATTGTTGTCCAAATCATCCTGGCTCCCCAGAACTCCTTGCCTTCTTCACTTGCCTTGAACTTTTCGATTTCATCAGCCATGTGTTCCAACATGTTGAACCAGTCTTCATCCCAATCGGCCTTGCCAGTGCTTCGGTACGGCGTGTAGAAAGCAGAACGCATGTCGACATAGTAGACACCATCATCCAACAGCTGCTTACATAATCTGCGAATAAATTTCCGGAAGATTGGTTCGTAGTAGATCAAGGATCCAAGAATTGGAAAGCAGGACATGAACTTGCGCCATGCTTCGTTGGGGCCTTCATGATGCGAGAGATGCTCCGAGGGAGTGATGGTAACGCGAGAGCGGACCCAGTCCAAGAAGGCCTTCTTCCCACCATCCGGAAAGTTTTCTGCGGCTAATTGGATTGGAATGGGTGTATTCGCTGCATAGTCCGAGGACCACATCGTCGCATCACTGCTTGGGGATTTCGAGTACACGAAGGAGAAGCCAGTTTTGCGCCTCTCCTGTTCTGTTTTTATGGGACCATTCGCTATGAGACAAACACCGTCGGTGTTGAAAGCTTCTTCTAGCGCCCAGTCAAGGTCGACCATGGCTTCTAAGTGGCAGTGAAGTAGCGCGCCTTTGGGCATCTTCTGGATAATCTGCCAAAGCTTGCTCTTCTCCATACGCTCTTTGGCGAGCGAGAACATCATACCGGGAAAGACATCAACATGATTGGTGAGGAGGCTGTCCTCATACTCTTTCGTCCACAATGTCTGCTGCTCCTCGAAGCGTATCTGAGAGACAATGGCGCATGCCTCTTGTGCCATGGGCGAGAGATTCTGCCTGAAAAGGTAGTCTGAAAGCTGTCAGACCCTATTGACGTCGCATCTGGACGAAATCTATCACGGACCACTGCGCTGCCTCTTCTCCTGCTGTACAAGCGCATCCCTGCCTTGAAGATACTTTTGGATGAATGGGTCGCTGAGACTCGGGACACCCTCGGCTTGCTCCCACTCCTTGTCATCCGTGAGCTCGTTTGTTGCCATGTCTCTAGGCTATGCGCAGACTCAGTGCACCAAGACGAAAAAAAAAACTGCGAATGAAGAAAAGCTGGTGTTGAACAATCCTGTCGGTGCCCTCCGCCCACGACCTTCCGTAATGACACTAGCTTCCCGCTGACGTAATAATGTCTACTTCCGCCCTTTCCTTATGCGGTACCATCCGATTGTCCATGGCTCGAAATCAAGTTTCACACCTCGACGTGCCATTCTCCGCGACAACAACGCTGCAACCTCGTACTCCTCATCCCTCCCGTGCGCCATCACTCTGACGATGCAAAGTGGTTGCGATCGTCATCGTTTCGGGTCACTTGCGCGTTATCACGCGCCTCTGCTTATCGATTAGTTTAGCGTGCCGTTTGAGCTTCGCGGGGCCGAATAGACCCTGGCCCAAGTGAGTGATGGTGCGCTGCACGGCCACCTGCGCGGTCGCATCACGCATCCAACATCTGCCTTTCCACCTGCAACAACTCGTCCTGAAATACCTACCTACCTTAGATGCCCTATTTCCTACCTGTGGCTAGACAAGACCGGCATATACTCCTTGGGAATTCTCGCAGTTCACGAACAATCTGCTCCTATCTCTTTAACCGCCTCATCCTCTGAGGTTCAAGATCCTCTCCACCTTCAAGCCGCGGCTTGTGCACCCGCGCCAACGCTGCCTGTGTACATTGACATTTAAATCTCTGGGGAGACAGTGACTGACACACGACCCTCGAGCATTTCCCTGAGCCTGCTCAAATACTCCTCACGCTACCTTATGGAGCCTCTCTCGACACTCTGGTAGGCGTTCGACTTGCCTCACACGACGTAGTCGCCGCCTGAACCGCCGAGAGAACCGAGAACCGTCAAGCACTATGGCATTCTTCTTCTCTGGTCTTTCCAGCTCTATCGGCAAGAAGCTCCTGTTGTATGGGTTACGTCACATCGACATCTTGGACAAGGATCCCGCCGACTTCGTCAGTGTTGATGTTGGCAAGCATACGACACTCGTGGTTCGAGATGTCGGGCTACACGTCAAGGTAGGACCGAGGCGATCGCCACACGGATCCGATTCATATACATTTATACTAACCCTCTATAATAGAAACTTGTCGCGCTTCTACACCTCAGACTGCCGCCTGAGATCCAACTCTTCGGCGCTCGAGCGTCTCTGCTGCGAGTCACGTTCGTTCTTGAGTTTGGCGTACCTCAGATCTCGATCGAGGTAGATGGTATACAGGTACAGGCTCGGCTCTTGGATGGCGCGGAGAGGCCTGACTATCCGTTGCAATGCCAAAATTCACAAATCCATCCTGGACAGTCATTACCACCGAATTCCGATGACGAAGATGGCAATTACGATTCGGATGGCGAGAGACATGTGCCAACCGTTGATGAGTTGGCTAAATCTTTCCTGCGGGCAGAACCTGACGATGAGATCCTTGAGCTGGAACAAGAGTTGGAGAACCGACCCTCCCACATGCAAGCGTCGTTTGCATCCAGTAATGATAGCGATGAGGGCTCAGCTGGGATGGGCGCACCTTTGTCGCTTCCGAGCTACCTGAGAAGCATTCTCAACACTGCGCTGGATCGCCTCAGCGTCTCAGTTAATGATGTCAACATTGAAATGGAGGACTCTTTCACAGACTCCTCCCCAGATGCTTTAAAACCTGGCCAAGAAACACCAGCGCTACTCGCGTTTCATATTGAGCGCATATCTATCGACTCTCTCACTTCTCAGGACGTTCGAGTAGATGTACAGCCTGCAGATTCCATGGCAGATCCCGATTCGAAGCTGGGCAAACGACGGCTGCGTGTGAAGAACATTTGCGCTAGGCTGATATCTGATGTCGATAATTGCATTTCTATGTTGCGGACATCACAATCATCTTCACCTCTGACAACACGTTCCCAGGTCTCGGTAGAACAGGACGCACCGGATCCGCCTCCCGAGACAACGCTTACAAATGATTCGGTGTCAGAAGCTGGAGAACATTTGGAGGCAAAGTCTGAGCCAGCTCGCATTCCAAGCCCTATTAACACTTCTGTCCATCTGGAAGCGTCCAACTCGAGCATAAATCAGCCCCGCAGTCCACCACCCAGCAGTCCGCCACCTAAGAG